AGCACGAGGGAATCGGCTGGCAGAGGAGTATTGGAGCATTTAACTTAGGGGTAACTGTGTAGGCAAGGGGAGGCTATTAACCCTCATTCACTTTTCTATTACACAGCCACCATTTAATAAAATCCCCTCGAATTCAACAGGCCGAATGACCAAGCGGTAAGGAGGCTCCCCAGCAGGCGAGTCAGGCCGGAGTGGAGCTGGAGATAGAGACACATGGGACACGATGTGAAAGGCAGGAAGTTCCAGGCTAGGGCTTCACACCCTTCCTTACCGCCGAGCCCCTCCCCGTGAGGCTAGAAAACCCCCTACCAAGCCCACCCTGCACATCGACATTTCCAGACTGTGCTACCTCAGACTGCAGGTAAGTACCAGTCACCACCTCATTTATACCTTCCACACACTGGCTGGAGCCCCGACCCTCTCAAAGGTTATTCTCATAGTATGGGCCAGATATCACCATATCTTCCTTTACCCTCCACACTGCTCCGAGAGACACCCCGTCCCAGCCCCACCGCACTAGGAGCCAGAGAAGCCAACGAACAGATGAGAAACCCCCTGGATCGACTTCACTCACCCTCCTGATATTACTCTTCGGGTCTGTCTTCGGGCAGGGTTAACTGGCGTTATAAACGCTCGGGTTACGCCTCTCCGGTTAGCCTGGTTCGAGTGAGCGCGCCCATATCAAGCCGGAGGCTGCACTCACTCACAGGTGGCACTCAGCCATGTGGGGAAATCCCAGGGTGCTTAGTACTGCAGTAGGCTGCGCTGCCCTGGGAACTCCTGCCAAGTGTATTGTGGGAGAACTTGCCTGTTCTTTCTGGGCACCCGGGGAATTGTGGGAAGGAAGTGGAGAACTAGCAGGACTTGAGTGGCGCCAACCTGCATACCCACTACAGAGTGGTCGTGCTAGCACCTGATGAGTTGCGCTTCACTTGGATTTTAGCTTCTCCCCTCTCTCAGGCCAGCCAGCGGGAGTTAAGCGCACCATTGCACTCAAGTGAAGGGTTGTGTGCACAGCCAGGACTCAAGTGAGGGGCAACACTCGAGTTATAACTCGTGTTAACTGTCAAGTGGAGTAACCCCTTCATGGACTAACTCACACTGCAAGGAAGACAAGCCCTTAGACGCTATTCTTCATCCACGGGCCACATAGATGCATTTTCATCCCCTCCCCTTCCAACATACAGGGCCAAGTTCGACCCAGTGTAAAGCCAAGGACCCCGAGTTTGTGAGCTCCTATAATGCTTCATATATGTCCATCGGGGGGACAGTAGGCCAGGATACGGGTCATGGATATGGAGTCTGTCCAGACCGGCTTGGCAAGTTAATGCCGTTTTCTGAGTTTTAGATGCTAAAGCTCTTTTTAAACCATAACATTCTGAGGAGGTTCGTTCTGTTCATGGCCTATAAATAACTAACTTTAACTCTACCCTTAAAGAGCATTTGTACTAGAGAGGTACACGCAAGAGAGTTTTTGCAGCGAGGGGAGGGAGACGACCATGTCATCTGGGCCACAGAAATCGGCATCAGTAGCAAAAGCAAACAGACGTTCACTGAAACAACTGCTAATTTTTACCAATTACGCCTCATTCTTGAATGATCATAATTACATGGGACTGTCCCTAATGCATTTCCCAGGATTGTAAAGAACGATCATAGCTGACCACAGGGAAAAGAAACACATTCACTTGGTTTCTGCATTTTTGAAGCCAGGCGCAATGGGGGGTTTTGTGTGTTTACATTCCTTTAAAAGGAGAAATATGTGCTTGTAAAATACTACTGCTATACGCTTCTCCATGCCTTTCATTTGAGGAGTTCAAAGCATGTATAATTATATCTCAGCATGGTTATGAGATAGATAATGAAGATCTAGAGGGACGCTTTACTACTACTGAAATGCAGCCACTTCTCAAGTGGAACACAGCAGCTGATTTAACAGCACACAGCAACACTGCACAATACTTGAGGACAGAAAGTGAAGGAAAAGCACGGCCAAGGTAGTTGTGTCATAAAGGCCCTGGAGGACACCTAGGGTCAATTCCCTGCTCTGCCACAGACTTTCTGCATGACGGTGGGAGAGTCACTTAGGCCCAGATCCTGCAATCAGTGGAAGTTCGGCGCCTGGAGGATCTGGGCCATAGTCTCGCTGTGTCTCAGTCTGTCGGTCTGTAAAATGGGACTAGTCTGTCCCTGCCTCACAGGGAGGTTGTGAGGGGACATTTGTGCAGTGCTCAGAAAGTACAGGGATGAAAACGGGCTAGAACTCAGACAGCAGGGGGACTAGAACTAGGTCACGGCCTGAGTGTTAAAACCACCCTCACTCAGCTTGTGGAAAGTGCCATGAGATCTTTAACCAGCATAAATCTTAGCCCAAAGTACTAAAAAAACCCACAGTTGAATCATTTCATTTCTTAAATCACAGCAAGTGTGAGGTCTACTGATCCAAAGGCATCTTCCATTTGTTCTCTTTCCATTTCGTAATTAAAAACAGACCACACCCTTTTCTTTTTTGAATATGTAAAGGAAGACGCTTCCTCTTTGCTGGCTCCTGTGTGGCTGGTGGCAGCCGAGTTCTTGGAAAGCAAAGCTCTGAATGATTAACTCCGACCCAAGTTCACAGCCCCCTGGTGAGCTGCCCTCGCGTAAACCCTCTGGCTGAGGGCCTGTCAGAGGAGCTGCGCCCCGGCACCTGGGTCGATCGGCCTTTGAGTCCTTTTTGCAGTGTCTGCTTTTGTTTGAGAGTCTAGTCTATTAAGGGCTTTGTGAAAGAAATCTCTCGCCATGGGATTTCTAATGCACTTCTCACCGGAGCATCGAGAGGCCACATCCCAGATCCTTCTCTAAGGTTACAGTATCCTACTCCATGTACAGTGCACAGTGTATTAAATCCTGTTCGTGTCAGGCGTGTACAGAGAGACCTTCAGGCTGAGACAAGCTCACGAGCAATAGTGCTGGCCCTTCCCGGGGGGAGAGAGACTTCTCTCTGGGCTCAACAGCTGGAGCAGCTGCATATGGCCAAGGCCGGGTCACCTGCGTGCATGAGAAATGGGTTCAGGTCCATGTCCCGTTAGCCCTCAGCCTCCCCATGGCCATGGCCAGCTAGGAGGGAAGTGTCTGATAAAAGCCGCCTGGAGACCAGTGAAGGATCACTGCCTGGTCAGCATTTCGTTCGTTACTGCCACGGGCTGGATTTGAACAGTGAGCAGGAAGTGACATTACTCTGACTTCTGGCTGGTGGCCAAACTACATCAGACAAGTAGCCCCCTGGTTAGCCACATTCACTGTTTGCACTCCCTGCCCATTCCCAAAGCCAACACAAAACCAGGAACCTCCATGGGCCGCAGAGAAGAGGGCTTTCAAGGAAGCCAGGTCTCCCCTCAGTCACACCTTGTGCTGAGCTATCTTGGCCAGTTTCCACTGGTGGCACATTCGACATTCATGCTGTCCCGCCCCCGCCCTATACTGACATCAGGGCCTCCATGCAAATGGCATGAGTGCCGTGGCAGTGCCCAGCAGGAAGCTGTTGATACGCGTGATGCAGTCAAGTAGTTTCCGCCCCTCCAAAGGTGAACTGTGTATCAGTTACAGCAAACACACAAAGGTTTGCCCAGCGTTTGCCTGCTGCTCTCAGGGCGAGGGCCAGGAGCCCGGCTCCCTTTCCACGTGGCCTGGTTGAGGAGGCATTTCTGAGGCTGGAGCCTCAAGTTTATCAGACCATGAAAAACGACCTGAATGTGTCAAGCGCTGTGACTAACTCAACAAACAAAACCGTCTCAGGATGCGAGCGCTCTCTCCTCCCCCCACTGCCCTGCACGTCAGCAGGAACACAAGAGATGAAAACAAACCCGTTAACCCCTGGACTGGGCAAGGCCTCCAGCCTGTGTGTGTGCCTGAGACCTGGGCTGTGCAAGACTGGATGCTCTGTGGATGACGAACCACCCGAGGCCCCACAGCACGCCTGAAAGATTCTCCAGCCCTTTTCACCCCCACCCACAGGCCATGGGGTTTGTGGCTTTCCCAGGGAATGGGTTAGAACCAGCTACTGAGCTGGAAACGCCACCTCGCATCGCCTTGCAGCTGCGTTCTCCAAGGCGCTGCATCAGTCTCCTTTAAAAGGAGAATGGATTTAAATAAAAGACATGTAACGAAGCTCCATCCCCCTAAACCTGCTGATGCAGGAAAAGTCTTTACTGCCTACTAAAGGAATGAGCTGAGTAACCCTGTGAAGTGCACACAGGATTTCCTGAGGTTGAGCCCCAACGATGCGTGATCAAGTCGTGTCAGGAAATGCCAGATTGCAGTCCAGTGGACAATGCCGGCAGCAGACAACCACACGCGTCCCTGCTCCAAAGAGAAAAATCCCCCTTAAACCAACAGGCATTAACAGGGAAAACCGGTGACAGAAAAAAGCCAGTGAGCCCCAAAACCGAACTGCACAGATCTCCTCTGAATTTGCCCTCAGAGGACCTCATTCCTCACGAACAAAAAAACCCCACTCCGTTGCCGTTTGGGAGAAGGCCCGAGGGTGGCTCGATGTTGCAGCCAGTAGCGGTACCAGCACAGTGGGGCAGTGTTCCACCACCCTGGGAAAGAAAGGGATTTCTGTCTAAATCACAGATACCATCAGCTTTCTCACTTCCCTTCCACCAGAAAAGCCCAGCCCTCAGAATACTGCTGCATGAAGAAACTTTTATATGTATTTTTGGAAGAGGGACTTTTTTTCTGCAAAAGAACCTCTTTCAGCTAATAATGAAGTGAATATTATATTAAGAATGAAAACACAGTCAGTGTAACTTACAGAGAGAGACAGAAAACCTTTTCATAACACCCTGGCCACAAACACAACTGCCAATTAAATCAGCTTCATTCTCCAGCAACTGCCAACACAAACGAGGGGAGAGGGAGAACAGAACATGCAAAAATAGTAGCGCTCAAGGTGCCAGTTCTGGGGTTCACAGCAGCGAGTCAGCTGGCGCCAGCGAGCAGTTTCCGCTCTGCTGAGTTTCAGAAACGGCAGCCGAGAGTAAAAGGCACGGCTTCTCAAACAGCCTGTGTTACAGCCTGGCCGCCGCGCAATCCCGGCAGTGACAGAGATTTGACCAGCTCCGAGAAGGGGAAGCAGTGAGAGGCGACTACAACGAATTTGGGAAAGCGACAGGTCGCATCAAGCGAGAAGTGACTGAATTCCCCCGTCCCTCCAGCTCCGGATGCAAGTGAGCGGAGAGGGGAGATGCACTAGGGTAACCTCCTGAGATACACACCTCGCTCCACAGGGGCACTGGGCATCTCCTGGGCATCTGCTCCAGTGTAAAATTATACTGGAAAACTGCTTTAAAAGCAAAACAAAACCCCTTTGGTTCGCTTCCTCTCGCTCCAGCAGAACCCGTGGCCTGGCCCCTGTGACACTGAGCACTCCAGCACTGGCCACGGCCACAGGGGAAGACAATCACTAGCTATTAGAGTCCCTCCAGTCATATGCAAACAGGCACAGAGCAGCGTTATTTCTATTACAGTAGTGCCGAGAGGTCTCCGCATGCTAGATGCTGCAGAGACAATTCTACTCCAAATAAACATGACGGATGAAGGGTGGGAGGGGAAAAGAACCTCGGAGAGGCCTCGTCGCTCGTGCAAGGTCATGCAGGACACCTGTGGCAGAGCCAGGACTAGAACCGAGGGTTTCAGATTGCCACCCCAGTGCCCTAGCCACTAGATGACGCTGTCTCCCCAGAGGGTCACAGGCTTCACCGAGTGGAGCAACTTAGATTAGAAAATTAAACAAATAAAATGGACAATTCCGAGTTCTTAGCTAGGTGTCTGGATCTCCAGACAGTCTGTGCTAGTAGAGGAGATCTAAGCTCAGATTCTGGGTGCCATAGTCAAAGATGAATGGGTGCTGGGGAAGCTTTCATGGTTTTCCAGCCCCTACTGAGTATGTTCATGCCAAGTTTAGACTGTCACCCACTCAAGCATTTTGCGTATTTGACCCGCTGTTTGGAAAGGAATGAGTTCTTGCCCTCAGCAACCAAGTAGTTACAGTGCTGGTAGTCAACCAACTTGTGTTGGTGCTTAGATCTTCCATGGCCAAGCAGTCACAGGGGTGGTGAGCTGGGAAGAATGCAACCTTCTACGTATAGAAGGCAGCGGGGTCATTGCCATCCCAAATCTTTTGCTTACCTACCTACAGTCCTAGCCTGCTGTGACTCCATCTAGAAGACAGAGCCTGCTGAACCCACCCCAGAAATGGAAGACAATGTGAGGTACTATGCAGCTGATATATTAGCTTGTTGAAAACCAAGACACCATGGTATTCAAGCTATAGTAATTTCAGTTGTATTTACATTTGCATTATATTTCTTGTGTGGTTACTAGCAAAGAAGCAATTTGCAAGAGCTGGCAATAACCAGGAAATACTGACTCATCTCTCAGGCACATAGGAGCCAATGTGTTAGTTTATTTTTTAGAATTAATGTTTCATCTCCAATTCACAGACTGCAGGGTAGAAGTGGGAGCAGACTGTGTCCTGGTCTTTTGGCTAAGGTCAAGTAACTACATAGGGAAAATACAGCTGATATGTATCTCTTAATTTAGCAGACAAAGGCATAACCAGATCCCAGGGCCAGACGTTGACATTAGAAAAATCCAAACTGGAACTAAGACAACTTGTGAATGGTGAAGGTAAACTCTTGGAACAGCATACCAAGGGATGTGGTTAGTTCTACAGCTGGGTGAAGTTTTTCATCAAAAACATTTTCTTTTAATGAAAGATAGCTTTTTGATCAAAATTAAATTTTCATGGAAATCTTTCATTTTGGTCAGAGTTTTCTGGGTTCATGACAAAAAAAAAAAAAGAAAAAACCTAAAATTCTCAGTAAAATTGTTTGGATTTTGGTAAAAATTTACATTTTTCTTCTTTTTTGTTTTGTTTTTTTGTGGAAAAACTGAAATTTTTTTATGGTAAATTTCAGAAGAGAAATGATCCACATTTCCTGCAGGAAATAACTCATATTTTTGGGCAAGCTCTAATTAAATCACGTGGAGGTCTTTAAATCCACAGATTGGCTGTCTCCCCAGGGATGTGCTCTAGGTAATCCACCGGTAGAGACGGGAGAACAACTCTTTTAGTGGTTTCCTGGCAGTTTAAAAACAAAAACAAAAACAAACTTTTTTTGTTTTGTTTCAGGTCAACTGAAAACTGAAATTTTCCCACTATTTTTGATTAATTGAAAATTCAGACACAAAACAGTTGGGAGTCAAAAAGTGTTTCACTGAGCAGGAGACAGCAATTCACCCCCCACCTGGCCTTTAGAAGACCCAGGCTCAAATCCCACCCCCCTTCCTAACCACCAGCTCTTTGCTGTTCTGGGATGAGTCTCCAGAAGCTGCTCCCCTTCGTATAAATATTCATTGAGCCACCGAGTGAGAATTAGTCTAGTCTGGTGGTTACGGCATGCACCTGGGTCAGGAGACACTTGGGTTCCAGGTCCTGTTCCGATGAACGTTTAATTGATACCAAGTGGAACAGCTCCTGCAGGAGACACGGAGACCCCCACCCCAAAATAACCAATAGACTAGTGCCTAGAGCACTCACCTGTGATAGGAAGAGCTGGAGTCAAGTCCATGTTCCAGGTGGGTGCCCTAATCACTGGGTGTAAGGGGGAAGGGATACCTCTGCCTCTTCTTCTGATTTGTGAATGGTACCTACAACCCCGCCCCCCAAAATTAAAAGGGTAATTCCTTTCACTGCAGGAATTACTGTGTGAAATTCTATGGCCTGTACCAGGCAGCAACTGATCACAGGGGTCCCCTTCTGGACCTAGGGCCCAATCCTGAAGCCTTACAGCACTGCTATACACACTGAGCAGGTCCATTGAACAAGACTATTCACATGCATAATGTTAAGTATAGGCTTGAGATTTCTGCAGGATCAGGGCCTTAGATTCTGTGAATCACAGCGTATAAGTTTAGTACTTGGCAGATTCAACCTTTGCCTAAGATGGAGTCAAATACTGACATAGATTCAATAGGTTTTTGTCCCTAGCTTTACAGCACCTGTGTTCATTAACCACAAACGACAGCATGCTATCTTTCCTACAGTGACAATGCTGGACGGAGCTGGCTGCTGGGATACGGTCTGGAAGCGTAGAGGGAAAGCCCCGGCTGCTGAAGACATAGGTAGCTATGTAGTGGAACTCCATTACACATGTGCCTTCTTCAAGAATGTCTCTTGTCCTCCTGTGGAGTCATGAGATATGAAAGCTCTCCGATTCTGGCAGGGAACGGCCATCAGCTTCTGATCCAGGAAGTGATCAGAACAATTTGTAGAAAAGATTATTAATATTCAGCAATATAAAGTCTGTTAGACACTAACCCATAAAAGTTGCTTGTATTTATGAAGAGGAGGGATATATTGCCATCTAGTGCCTAGTCAATAAAATCGACAAGACTCATTTTAACATCTTTGGTATCAACCTGTTTCTTCAAACCTATCAGTGCCTAAAAGAGACGTGACCCCCTAATATTTATCATCCTGAAAGAAAGCAGCGAACAGAGCTAAAATAGAACTTGCTTGAGAAGCTGGCTGCACAGTACCTCTGACAAAAGAACGGTTAGGACAAGGAGTAAGATTAAGTCTCAAGCGTTACTGAGGCCTGCAGAAAAATCTGTCAAGTGAAGCAAGATCAGATACACGCACAAAACAGAAATGACAGTTCACGTTTATAATTTTATCTACATTTGTGTTGGCTTCGTAACTCACAACTAATGACCCAGCTAAGCCGTCCTGGCGTGCACCGTACGGAGTTCAGTTGTGGATTACTGCAATGTGCTATTAATCAAGACCTAACATGAGCCAAGTCCCTAAATCTATTACAAATTAGGACAGTTATTAGCCCAAGCTACTATATAGATGCATTTTCCTTCTCCCCAAGAGAGAGTTTTAAGCTCCTCTGATCCTTTAAAAGGAGCAGATATGAACGTCTGAACTGTTCTGCTTAGTTTAACTTCTTTCCTAATGAGCTAATATCCACCAAGTCCATACACATTCATTTTGGGCCCAGTTTTACGCTGAGTGAGACAGGTGCAACTGTCACTGGAGGTAAATGGGAGAATGACATCATGACACGGGGGAGAATTTGACCGTCTGTCTAGCCCAGGGGTCAGCAACCTTTCAGAAGTGGTGTGCCGAGTCTTCATTTATTCACTCTAATTTAAGGTTTCGCGTGCCAGTCATACATTTTAACGTTTTTAGAAGGTCTCTTTCTATAAGTGTATAATATATAACTAAACTATTGTTGTATGTAAAGTAAATAAGGTTTTTAAAATGTTTAAGACGCTTCATTTAAAATTAAATTAAAATGCAGAGCCCCCTGGACCGGTGGCCAGGACCCGGGCAGTGTGAGTGCCACTGAAAATCAGCTCGCGTGCCGCCTTTGGCACGCGTGCCATAGATTGCCTACCCCTGGTCTAGCCAAATAGGACTGTGGGACATACTTCTCCATAAGCAATGAAGTCTACCATAAGTTAATCATGCTGTAAATTACATATTTAGTATTGTGCTTAAAAGACACTGACAGATCAAGTCTTTTGGCACCCTAACTTACCAGTGTACTATCTTTGCTTGCTGATTTTTAAGTCAGTCAATAACAGTTAAGTTTGTTGTTCATGTGGAATACAAGAGCCAGAAGGTGCTCCTGAAGGTGGAGAAAAACAGGTTGAGAAAGCTCAAGAGGTTTCTTTCTTGGCAAGCAGTCTCTGGAATGTGTATTCACCAGGGCGATTTTCCTTCACACCCTGCTCATTGCCTTACCACTGATGTGCAATGTCCAGAGGGCATGAGCTGGGACATACAGGGTGGGAGCAGTACATTCTGCTTTGCCAGTTTTCCCTTCCATGGAATCTTTGTAAGGTTTCTTACTGATTTTGTATTGGCTGTATGCTGTTCATTAGCATGCATTCAAATCTACATTTAACAACTGTCACTCTGCAAGGCAGAACCATTCAAAAACAATTCAGGGAAATCTACATGAACTAACTGGGGAGATCTGATATTTGGGGGAAGAGGAATAGGTAAGGGGTATATTCTGAAGTAACTTCGGATTTAGCATCAATATGCACGAGAACGTTCATAAAGCATAACATGTTGTATTGTCTAACAAGTGAAGCAGCAAGTTGGCAAGACAAACCAAATCATGTTTTCAAATTCTGATTCCTCACTGTAGCGTCTTTAAAAAAATAATAATAAAATAAAATCACCCTTGGACAATAAACTGGGACCAGTCCTGCTCGGATTATTTTCCAGAGATCGGTTTATTTTTTCAAAACAAAGCCAAATTTTAAACCATTATTCTAAGAACAATCTGCGTAAATACAAATTCCATGGCATCCTACTTTTATTTACATATTTCCTCTGTGCAGCCCAAAACTTGGAAGAGGTCGGAGAAGACTGAGAAAAAGTCTGCTTCAAAATAAAGTAAATATCAGCTTCTGTGAATAATCCAGAGCTCCATTAATGAGAGAAAGTAAAGCCCAAGGGGCAGTCCCTCCTTTTCTACAGCAGAGTTTAATCTTATTTTCAAAGACAGACTCAAGATTTCACAAACAGGAATTAATATCTGGAAAAACATGTTGTACGTATAAAACTGAGAACAGGCTTGCAGCCTCCTCAATTCTGAGCTCTCCAATGAAACAACGTTTCTTCTCCCTTCCTCCCAAAACACGGATGCAATGTTTGCGGGCTAGAGGTAGCTTCCTCCCAGTTATGGAACCGTTCCTTTCATCTGCAGAGGATTCTAGAACGAAAACCACAATCAGCAACATTCAAACACTGATCACAAATGTAGTTTGACTTGACTGATTGGCTGTAACTGCTTAAAGCTTGGTTTATTCTCAGACACTTGTGATTTATGATTGACGTTACTGGCTCTGAAATAATTCTGTATTTATTCACAGCTCAATACACAGAGCACAGTAAGAGTAAAGTTCCCACAATATTCCTCCAACAGCCTCACCCGTGGCCTGAAAGGAAATGCCATCTCTAAATGTTATGGACTCCAACCTAGCCTTTATTTATCCTTGTAGTCCACTGCGTAACTTTCCCTTCACTAGCATTTATACCCATCATATACTTGTAGATAGTTCCCACCATAGGTCGCCAACATACAAGTGATTCAACTCTATTCAAAATGAGTGAATACTCCAAGCCCTATGATCATTTCTGTTCCTCTTTGTTTACTCCCTTCTAAATTGGTCAATAGCTTTTTGGGATTGAGGTGCCCAGAAATGAACGCAGGTACACCTGAATGTCACCCCCTTACTCTGTGACATATTTGTACAAGAAACCCCCACAATGCACTACAAACCCCTACCTAGTTCGCTGTCCCCCATCACACCCAGGTCTCTTCAGCATTACGGCTTCTCTGCTTTCTTCTGCTCGCTGAATTTTTGGGTTTAAAGCATTAGCTGGCATCTTTCTAATCCGTTTGTCATTTTTTGTCTGTTTTTCCAATCTGAGTCCTTTTGTGGTGTTTATTGATCCTCACATCACCTAGGTTATCACCTTATTCTAGAGTAACATGGTTCAGTCTTCATCATTCTATCCAAACTCGACACCAGTCATTGGATTCTTCCTTCAACTCTACACTCTCATTTAACAAGACTTGAAGAAGAGCTCTGTGTAGCTCGAAAGCTTGTCTCTCTCACCAACAGACGGTCCAATAAAGGATATTCCCTCCCCCATCTTGTCTCTCGTTTGTAGTCTTTCCGCTAGTTTTCACTCCAGATGATACTGTTCTTCTCTAAGTCTATTTGAATTATTTTTGTACATTTTGGACAGACACTGCAAATGTGCCACTTAAATTCAGTTATATCACACACACTACGCCCCTTTTATTCTCTCTTATTAGTTTTAGAATTTTACCTAAAAAGGCATCAAGTGTGTCAGGCAGGATTTGTTCTTTAGATTAGCCCATACGGCTGGTTGCTCACGAGTCTATGAAGCCCCGCCCTCCATTTCAATATCCTACTGCTCATGACACCACAACATACTGAACCGTTTGCAGTTACAAGTGGTAGCGTTGAAAACGTTCACGAAGATGCACTGAGGATCAAGATGATGTTCTACCCATTTGCCACATGCTGTGTCTCAGATAGAACTAACCCAGATTTAGAGGTACTCAGGCCCTGATCCCATTTAGGGTACGTCTACGCACCAAAAAACCCGCATGGCAGTGAGTCTCCAAGCCCAGCTCAACATACTCTGCCTCACTGGGCTAACGCGACTGGGGTAACAATAGCAGGGTAGGCTTCGGGCTCAGGCTAGAGCCTGGCCTCTGAGACTCTCCCCCCCTTGCTGGGTGTCTGAGCTCGGGCTCCAGCCCAATCCTGAATGTCTATTTTTAACCCTGCAGCGCAAACCTGAGTCAGTCGACCCAGGCTCTGAGACTTGCTGCGGGGGGGAAGGGTTCTTTTTCTGCTGTGTATATGTCCCCTTCCATTGAAAGTCAGGCTTAAAAGAAAAGCCACTGTCAAGTTCGCTAGGAGTTAATCCAAATCTGTTCACGTAGTTCATGCAGAGTGAACGGTAATCAAAAAACAAAAGTAGCGCATCTGCAACGGCTGTTTTATCTTCTCTTAGTTCACAGTAGCCACGTTTCACTTGTTACAGTTTCAACAGCTATATCCACTTCAGTCTGTTTATCAAGCCAATTACATAGCTCTTGGGTCACCACCCCACTCTGCAAGCTTTTAAAAATTAACTTCCCAGTATTTATTTATCTGAAAGGATATGAAGGAGAACAGGTCACAATTTCCAACTCCAACTAACCAAAACACAAAGCCCAAGAATTGGGAGCAAAACAGATACCTCACAAAAACAACGAGGAGTCCTCGTGGCACCTTAGAGACTAACGAATTTCTTGGGCAGAAGCTTTCGTGGGCTAAAGCTTCTGCCCAAATAAATTTGTTAGTCTCTAAGGTGCCACAGGGACTTCTCGTTGTTTTTGCTGATACAGACTAACACAGCTACCCCTCTGAAACCAGATACCTCAGAGTCAGACGGAGGGAAAGGCCAAGTTACAGCAGGAGGCAGGAGATGTCTTTTGTGCAATATTCTATCCGAACACAAAATATTTTGCACTTTTAAACCCTCCTCTGGCAAATGGTTGTAAAGCACTTGACTTACAAGTGAAACATTTGTAAAGTTCCATTTCAAGGTTATGCAAGGCATTTAGGGCCTGCGGTGACTCCAAACAACTTCAGCAGGAGTGGGGATGAGGCCATTCATGAACTCAGACAGTCTGTGCGGTCGCTATCCCCATTTTGCAGGTCAGAGAGTGAAGTCACGGAAAGGTCACACAAGCAAGCCAGTAGCTGGACTGGGAGTTTCCTGACTTCTGTTCTGGCACTTTCCATCACAAAACCACCCTCCCTTCAAACCAGGTCAGTACATCCCTCACTACTGCGACATTCTCCCAGTTCAGACTGAATCATCAGGGGGTTTTGAGATGGGATTGAAATATGCAACATTTTGAAGCCAAACCGAAACCACTTGTGGGTTCAGGAAGGTGGTACAGCTCTCAGCTGCGTTAGAAATCCAGCAGAGGGTTGAAGATATGTCATACCACTGCCAAGGGTTCATCCTGAAAGGAGGTGGCGGGAACAAGGAATTAGGATGAGAAGGAGAAAATCTTTATAGATCTCACTCTCTCGATTGCTAATCGAGAGATTAGCTCCAAATGCCAGTCAGTCATTTACCGAACCTGCAGCACCAATTCCTATCAGCTATGACAAAGTATGACAGATGTTTTTAGATAAGGTATTCTGCAGTACTCCGTACTATATCAGAGCAAAGCATCTCTCGACCATGCTAACGGTGAGCCACCTTCTATGTTATGGACATACATAGCTCTTTTCATAGGTCCCTGATAGGTGTATTTAAAGATAATCACTTGATGTTTCCACTGGCTGTTAGTTGTGGCTTGGGGGGGGGGGGTCTATCTGGGTGTAAAAACTGCATCTACTGAGGCTTCTTGTGCACCATAAGTGGGGGGGGGGATCAAACTGAGAATCTTCTATGATCATGGTTATTTGAAGTAATAAAGTCTTTACATGGAGCTAATTAAAAATATTCAAGCTGAAACCCTGAAGGCATTTCAAGGAGTGTTTGATCAGTTCATCCCTTTCATTTCCACCTAATGGCTCCACAATCACCGAGGAAGCGGAGGGGGACTCTGACCTTGAAGATGAGAAGGCCTGGACTGCGTTCAAGGGGCTGCTGCTCCAGCGGGTAGGAGAACTACATGCCCCAACTAGGCCATCCCGCCAGTGTTTCTCTCCTTCCTTTAAAAGCAGTTTGGCAAGAACTACACAAAAATCAACACAAACATACGCTTTCAAGCTCAGAGAGAAGTCTGTTAGCGCAGGCTATTTTAATTCACGGGCTTCAGGAAGACAAAAGTCAGTCATGAATTTATAGCTAGAAAATGACATTTCACGGGTCATTTAAAAATCACAATTGCCTTTATTCTGCATTTAAAACAACAGTTAACAGGGAGCGTTTAACTAATACTTTTAATTATTTTAAGCAGCCTGGCCACTGGTGCCTGCAGCGTTAGATCAGCAGCAACGCAGCAGGGCTGCTAAGAGCGAACAGAGGTTGCTCCTCTAGTTCTACTTCCCTGCCAGCCTCTCCGAAGGCAGCGGGAAGATCAGGGCTGAACAGACATCACTTCCACCAGAGCTGGGGCTCTTCCAAAAAGACGCAGGCGTGGAATCTGGAAAATAAGCGCTGCACACTTCTTGACAAGGCACCAACCCAATGATGAGAGTCCCTGCTCTTTAACCAGGCTCTACACGGGCCGCCCTCAAGGGACTCACTGAAACCACATGGAAACATCCCAGAGTATCAAAAAGTCATGGAGATCTTTAAATAAAAACCAGTAATGGAATTTGTGACTTCTGTGAATAAGACGCAGCCTTAAACATAAGACCACTTGAGCTTTTAAACTAGAGAAAAGCACGTCTCCAGAAGGGTAAGACTAAAGCTACTTTTACAAAGAGAATGAGCCATCACGTGCTCTCTGTTTTAGGCAGAATGCCTCCAATTTCAATAGGGATTTCAGCTTAAAATCTCAAGATTGTTAGGGCAGTGGTTCTCAAACGTTTGTACTGGTGACCCCTTTCACACAGCAAGCCCCTGAGTGCGATCCCCCCTTACAAATTAAAAACACTTTTTTACATATTTAACTCCATTCTAAATGCTGGATGCAAAGCAGGGTTTGGGGTGCAGGCTGACAGCTCGCGACCCTCCATGTAATAACCTCGTGACCCCCTGAGGGGTCCCGACCCCCAGTTTGAGAACCCCTGTGTTAGGGTGTGTGTTTGCCATCCTCTTCCCAGCCTTTTCAAGGCTGACATTCAGGTCAATATGGCACCTTTCATGCTCAGGCTCTAGAGAAGCACTCCATAAGGTACAACCAAAGCTTGGTAACTGTATGCGCACCAGTGAGGTACTGTACTATTCGAGAACTTTATGTCCCAGATCTCCAGCCCAGCCAGATTTAAAAAGGAACACAGCTGGCTTGTCTAAAGTTAGCAAGAGTTTTCTTCACTGCTTCTCACTCCTTTTGAATTCCACTGTCTGAGCGCCTCAGTTGGTGTATCTAAAGTTAGCCACTTCTGGAAAATCGGTGTGCTTGAGAGCAGGCAACAAAGTATCTGGTAGGAACGTGCAACAGCTCAGTCTAAAAAATTAGAAGCTGCTTGTCCAATTGCCGTGCAGTTTAATGCTCTT